TTAGATAAAGTTAATATTTTCGGAGTTACGAGTTTTTAAAGGTTTGAAAAATCCCGACTTTGGATACTTTGGACTTATTAAAAATAGGGTGTTATTTAAAAATTAGCATAGTATTCATGTTTTATGTCAGAAGAGAAATGTAATCTAGCAACAAATATTATTAAATGAATCGGCAATTTTTGACATTCTGAACGGTTTTTAATTTTTTAATACAGCATATTAATTATATAAGCTGCAATGAGTGACTTATGTTTATAAAATTTTGATAAGCACTTAGAGGGTAAGCAACTAAAATAGGATAGATATCATTAAAAAAATGAACGCACCTTAACCTACTGTCGCTGATATTACTTGATACGTATTTCTGTATTTTTACAAAATTAATAGTACTGTGGCTAAGTTTAGGTCTGCTTATAGACATATTTTCTTTGCTAACAAATCGTGAATCTTGTTGATCAATTAAGTATTTTGCGGATTGACTATTTATTAGGCAAACTCATATTATTGTAAGCTGCCTATTTATGATTAAATTACCAGGGATGGAAAAAATCATGATTTTTCTGATTTTTTTGATTTTTTTTTGTATATTTGGAAATTCACGAGTTGGTAACACTTTTTAACATAGTAGTATTAAAATTTTATGAATACATATGTATGAAACTGATTAAGAGTAAAATAATTAATACTATAATATTAATTACAGTTCATATCTTAAGGTGAAAGCGCCAGGGTAACCCGCAAATTCAAATTTTCTTACGTTTTTTACAATTTGGTCAGTATTAGGTTGTATGTTTAAGAAAATATGATTCTCGATCGTAACAAGTATGTATTTACAGAATTATAATCATTATAATCATCAATACAACCGTCTATGTTTGTATAATCCCATTGTATGGCTATTTCCAGAAAAACTCATTGAAAGGGATTATATGAACTTAAAGGGTTGTATTGGTGATTTTAATGATAATAATTCTTTAAACACATACTTGTTACGGTCGCGAATCATATATTATTAAACATACAACCTGACCCTAACCTGTAAATTCCAAAAAACGCAAACATATTTGAATTTTGCGGGCCACCCTGGACCATTCACCTTAAGGGTGAATTTCTAAAAAAAAATTTTGGGTAATTTTACTAAGTTTATGAGACTATCGAAGATTTTACGTTATTTTAAGCCAGTTTTATTTAATTTTCTGCCTATTACATTAATTTATACATGTTGATTTAAATCAATGATTTTTTTAATCAAAATCAAGCGATTTAAATCGTGATTTAAATCATGATTAAAATCAGTTTGATTTAAATCAGCCAACCCTGTAAATTACTGAACATTATCAAGATTATTTGCGAAACAAGAATTGCCGAATGCTTTTTTTATTGCTAACAGAATCTTTGAATGCTAACCAAATGATTTAAATGCTGTTTTTTGTGGCTAACCAAATTTTATTACGGCTTAACATACAACTACTTCTCTTAAAATATATAAAGAAAAAGAATAAAATCTTTATATTCTTTGATGAAATACGTATAAAAATGGTCTTTTACGATAAAGTTCATATTTTCATACTCGGGACTAATTTCACAGACGTGACTGAGGATAGTTTATAACATTAACAAGTAAATCAAGAATTAAAAAAATATCTATCTATATAATATGGGCACTAAAATAAAAATACTTTAAAATAAAAAACTTCGTTTGTCCGAAATCTCAAAGCGTTATTTATTACCAAACAAACAATGAACTCAACGAATGGTAACACACCAAGAGATTTCGTCTCGAGCTTCAGTTCGAATTCGTACCAATCCCAAACCAATTAAGGACTTTTTTTGACTTTAAATTACTGTCATGTGCAAACCTATAACTTTTATCTATATTATAATAAGTAGCGTGTGATGAAAGGTAGGAATGATTCCACTTTAATGGCGACATTTTATGAGTGAAATAATCTTATTTAATGAAATTTCAACATGAAATTGAATGAAATTATGAACAATGAAATTTCAGAGTACATGACAAAATTTTTTTTTGCACATGTAAATTTACACATGACAGTAATTTGAAGTCAAAAAACGTTTATCCTACCTGTTCAAATCCCTTTCCACTAAATCATAGCAGGAAATTAAATATTTAAAATTTAAAACTTACCTTAATGTAATAGCGAGCCTCTCAATCGGTTGTATTGTAATCCTTCGTAAACTGCTTTTTTGTAGCTTATTCTCAATTTTACACAACAGTTCATCAAAAGAACGAATGGACATTCGAAAGTAATTTTTAAATTTACGTTCATTATTTTGTAGTTTTCCAAAGCGTGTAACAAACGCCCCAGCAAGAAGCCTATTTTCAAGAAAGGGATCAACATGTACTCTTGTCTTCTTGTTTCGTCGTTTGTAAAGTATGTAAGCGACACATATTCTTCTGACATTGATCATTTTTGAACACGTCTATACCGTTACGCAGCCCGTAGAAAACTGAAACTCATGCTGCGTATGATCCGCAGCGTGAAATTTTACGCATGCGGTCCAATCCCGCGTGCGTGAGCAAATCCGCGTGACACTAAAAGCGCCCTAAGCTTGTACTATTTATTATTCATTCTGTGATATAAGTACTAAAACAAAATTTAAACACTAATACAAATTATTATTAATAGCGGTGATCCTTTAGCACCCATGGACGTATAAAAAATTTATACATTACGTATAAAATATTTTTTATACATACCTACGTCCATGTTAGCACCATATTATGGTTATTGGTATGGAATTACAATAGGTAGGAATGTACTTTCGGTAAAATAACAATAAAGATGATTTGCAATTAACAAAATGTAAATAGAGAATTAATTTACTAGACGTCAATCACAAAAAATCACGTAATGAGAAAATAATTGCAATCTTTATAATTTAATAAAATAGGTATAAAATAATGCCGAATCGGATGACCGGATGCAAGGATTTCGACATTTATTGGTCGAATAAAAATTCAATTTACGAACTTATTTAATTTTTAACAGGTTTTGCCCGCGATTTCATTTGCGTGGTGGTCGTAAAACAACATAATTTTGAAAAATTACAGCCATTGAATTCCAAGACGTAAAACATCATAAAGAGGAGAGTAGGATGGATGCCCCTATTACCAGCCTTTTAGAGCCAATTTTAACTTTAAAAATTCCTGCAATTTTAATTAGGGCATAAGATTTTCAAACATTTGTTTTGATCGATAGGTTATTTATCTAAAAATATAATGAACATTTATTTACAATCATATTATTTCAAGAACGATAACAAAAACGACGATAAGCAAAAAAAGGCGTTATGGCACAAATGCCAGCCACCCTGTACCGAATGTCGTCCTTTTTGTACTTAATCCCAGCATAGCATAGGGTTGTGTCTTTTGAGTTTTTGGTAAGTACCCATTGTAGGTAACTTTTAATTTTGAATCTGCATGTGACAAGCATGGGATATTATTAAGACAGACGAAAACATTATTTTATTTTAACGTTTTACTACTAACTTACTGTGTTTTAGTTTAAAGCAGTTCAATAAATTAAAGCAAATTATGATAAAATATTATGTAGTATATCGATTTCTAATAATTTAATCATCCAAGTTTTCAAATCATCATCGTCACTATAACCTTACACAAGTCCACTACGGAACATCCTCTTCCATAGACTGCCGCAAAGCCTGGTCCTAATCCACTTTACTTGTCATGAGTTTTTCATTTATGTTCTAAGTTGTAATTAGTATTACTAAGTTATAGTTTTTGCTTATCTATACGAATAAATAAAATTGAAGTGTCTGTTTGTAATGTCAAAATAACAGATTTTTGAAAGTATATACGGTACCTATAACAAAACACAATTTTTAAAATTTTTGTCTGTCTGTATGTTTGTTCCGGCTAATCTCCAAAACGACTGGACCGATTTCGACGGGACTTTCGCTGAACGATAGCTGATGTTATAAGGAGTAACTTAAGCTACTTATATTTTAGAAAAAGAATTAGGTTTCCGCGCAACATAAATAAAACCCTAAATTACACGCGGGTGAAGTCGCGGGAACAGCTAGTATATACTATATTTATTACTTGTTTTTTCTTCTTTCTCAAAAAATAATTGAATACATAAGCTGTCCTTAATATACACTCTCAGAATGTCAGATAGAAAAGCTAGTACATCTTTTGCTAAACTTTAAAATCTAAAACCAATTTTAAAACAGAGGAATTGATCATGACTCCCTTAACTATAAAATAAGTTATGATCTAATTAATAGTATTTATTCCAGTTTATGACAGCCCTGATTTATATTACGTGCTGAAATTAGGTACTTCTTATTAGGTACGTCAAACCAAATAACAGCCGGGCGGCTGACATTATGCACTCCATACATTTCGTATATCTAATTACAGCCCCAGTAATTTCCACTAAAAGAAAATAAATAAGTTGTAAATTTTAACAAAAATAACTGCCTTACTATGTCTATAGTCCTATTCATACAAATCAAAAAGCCTATATATGAGATAATGTAAAAAGTAAGCATAATTTTATCGGTATCATTACTTGTCAAGAAATTAGGAAAATGAGTGTTTTTCGTCGCGTGTTTTGATTTTTAATTTAACACTGTTAGGTTTAAAACTGTGAGGTAATATTTGAAATATACTTTCCTCTAGGTACGAAGAATTTTTTAGGTGACAATATTTGTACTTAAGACTAATAGAAATCTTATTTACGAAGTAAAAAGGCGAAAAGGCTGGAATTAGGGGCATGGCTGGTATTAGGGGCATCCACCCTAATTGCAGAATTACTCTCCAAAGGTTCCCAGGATGAATCCGGTGCATTTTTACGGTATAAAAATCGCTTGTCTCCCTCTGGCTAATAAACTAGTACCTATATGCAACAATTATGTTGGTTTGTCGCACCGTTGCTGCGTGAAAGGAAGAAAATCAACAGGCACACTTTGTCATTTATAATATAAGTAGGGAATATACAACTTTCACTTACCAAACGGATGCTGCCAGACCGAAGTAATATAACAGCAGAAACACGACAGCGCAGTTAGGATTAGCTAAGCCATCGTGAGCTAGCAGCATGCGAGTTGGGGACATGGAGTCCTTGGCACACCCAGCGGCAGAGCGGCCCGCTGCGGCCCGGACACCCCAGCCCGCTGCTGCAGCGCACCTGCACAGGGCCACGAGGACTAGCGCTCGTTCACCGGCCCCTCCTCTGTCCCCACAAGCCAACTGGGCTCCAACAGCTGCCAGCGTACATGCAAAACTTAACGCCGCCCATGTCGCCAACCAAACTTCGGCTGCTTTACGCTCTCCGGCCTCCCAAAGTACCTCCGCATCACAAAACTGTGCACAACGACCAGACCCTCTAACCCACACCCAGCTATTTGGTTTCACAAGTCGTCGACAAGCGCCTCTGCCATTTGTTGTTGCCGTGTCCAAAGGGATAGTACCAATAGGCGGCACGCGCTCGCCTGGTCCTTCCATGCACATATGTTCATGATTATTTTCAGCCGGGAACAGTGAACAGTCAAGCTCCGAAGGCCAGGGAAATCCAAACCCTCTCAAGACGGGATAACATCTTTCGTAGACACTCTCACAAAGACCTCTACACGGTCCGATCGGCAAGGCAACCTTGTCTGTGCACATTGGGACATAAACGGAACAGAGGAACAAATGCAACTGAGATGAACATCCGTATTGGACTAAGGGACTGTAAGTCTGAAGAGTCACATCTGCTTCCACTTGTAATGTATGCCGAGCTAAATTCGGCATTCCAGTCTGATTATAACCAATGTTCTTGCACATCGCCACTTTAATGGGTTCACATGTCCGTACGGAAGCCTCCGCGGTGGCTCCAATAGCTAAGGTCACTATTAAAAGGAAAGTATCGAGGCACTTCATTTTTATGGTAGTATAATCACTATAAAAATGTCATCGTAATGGTTTTTATTTACGCGCACACGCTGCTAAAGCAAGAAATACGTACAAACACCACGAGACACGTGAGACGACTGTACTGTTGTTTTGTATTTTGTACGCTGCGCGGAGAGCCCCCCTGCTATAAACAAAAAAGGACCACGGCCACGGCACGGCACGGTACACACCACAGGCCTAGCAGGTATGTGCGCGATGTTACGTAGAGAGAAAGGGAGAGAATTTGGTAAACTGTCGGTCGTGTTGTGTTGACCGACCGCAACGGTCGGTGGCCGGCGTGATCCTAGTTAAGTGGACGAGTGTCCTTGCAGCCTCGGGGCATTTTCAATACTCGTTATCCGATAAAATAAAGACCGTATCACATGGCGGCAGATATAATAGATAGTACTGCATTATTACAATTTTATTATTCAGTTTTATTATTAACCAGCTGGTACCCGGCGCGTTACTGGCGCCTAAATGGAAATATCGTTTTAAATTTGGATGATTTGTATTGTTTAATTAGGAATGATTAATACATTCATTGAAGTTGAATGATATATCATAACTTTCAAATAAATTTGTTGTTGCGATACGCATGCCACCTAGGTACTGTAAGTTAATTGTACTCGTACTATGCCTGAGTATCCCTATAATCTACGCGCAAGTGCAAGCAATATGTTGAAAAAGTTTTACCTCAATCTAATTTTTTTATCTTGCTTATTTTTGTTATTCTACTGAAGTTATATTACTATGCTGTGTACACTTTTTTTTTTGGATTGTAGTTTAGATCAACACCATCATATTTTTAATTTTAGAACTGTATATAACTACTGTCTGTTTGTGTACCTTATTCAATAAAATAAAAAAAATAAAATAAAATAATGAACGGTATGGCGTATGGCAGCGCATAAAATACGAACAAACAAACATTAACCTTTATATATTATTTAAAACAATTTTGTTATTTACTATCTGCCCCGATAGATGTTGATCAGCCCGTTCTGCCATTGACTATTTTACTTACGTAGTACTTAACTATTGTTCTGTCATTTTACTTTGAATTCACTACTATTTTTCAGTGTAAATATATAATTTTTTTTATTAATAATTTGACCACACGGCCACCTATGAGGTCTAGATCATTTGATTTTTTTTTTCTGGCACCCTTTATTCAGAGTCCGCACATGCAAGCTGTATACGAGCTGTATTGAAGTTTGTTTTTATACTAGATTGCCACAAATTATACAGGTTTATGCGTTAGTAGCGCTGTACAAGCTTAAAAGAGGCTGTATAACTGCTATATTACAGCTGTAATTTGGTATGCAAAGAAACTATTACACTACAGATATTGTGTCTTATAAGTAACTTTTAAAGATAAGCGTTCTAAATTGGGTTTTGAACGGAATTACAATTGAATTTAAAACAAAAGGAACTTTATTTTCAATGACTAGATTGTGTTTATACTTATACTTTATTAATGACGGTCCAGCTGTTTAGGAGGAGTTCAGCCACAGACACACGAACAGAAGAATTATATAATATATAATATGCAAGTATTATACATATAAACCTTTCTATTGAACTATTCTATCTATTGATAAAAACCGCATCAAAATCCGTTGCGTAGTTTAAAAAGATCTAAGCGTACAGAAGATGGGAAACGACTTTATTTTATTTTATACTTACTATGTAGACAAGAGATCTAAATAACCAGGCAAATCCAGGGCGGGTCGATAGGTTCTCGATGTTCGGGATGGGCGGGTCAAAAATTCACGGAATAGAGGGGTTAGAGAGGGGAGAGGTATTTTTAAACTGTCACTACTTGGTGACTCAATACAACTATAAATACCAAGTTTCAGCCAGATCGGTTCATTATCATTAACCTTTGAGACATCACAGGATTAACAATTCAATAAGGAAGTGAACACTGACTATGGAGAAAATCGAGTTTCATATCACTAAGCAAGGAAAAATTCCACATACATATCGTTGTGAAAAAGATAGATGACATCTTTTTTATTCTTTTACTCTGGCATAGCCTTTTCAAGCAAACTTAATTGAAGACGATCAGCGCTCAGGTTTACCGATTGAGGCAACTTCCTCAAACATTGTCGAAAAAGTTAATACTTGTTCTTGAAAATGCTCGTTTGAAGAAAAAACATATCGCACAAATGACTGGAGTACCTATCATTTATGACAGTTTTAACATTCTCCATGATCATCTTGCCATGTCTAAAATCAGTGCAAGATAGATGCCAAGAATGCTCACACTGTGTAGTTATAAAATTATAGTGATTATTATTACTGAATTGTGACTGGGGATGAAACTTGGGTTCATCGCTATGAACCCGAGTCAAAGTAAGAGTCCATGCAGCGGCTAAAAGAGGCTGCCTAAGAAGTTCAAGGTCTCAAAATCGCATGAAAAGATAAAGGGATCAGTTTTTAACCGAATTCAAAAAGGAAGTATTCAATTCGACTGTTTTTTTTTATGTGTTACCTCATAACTTTTTTCTAGGTGAACCGATTTTGGAGATTATTTTTTATGTGAAAGCTGGTGCTGATCCCATATGAAATTTGATCAGACTGACCAGTAGTTTTTGAGTTAACCTTAATAATTTATATTGAAGTCGGTTGTACAAAATTTTTAAATTTACCACTTGTTTGGAATTTAGAAGGGAATTTTATTGATCGAGATGGTCTCGAGATATGCTCCTTTTGCACGACAACGCCAACCCGTTCACAAGTCATGTTGCGATGAGCTCCTTACACAAGGGCTTCGAAACTTTAAGCCACTCTTCACCTTCGGATTATTATTTGTTCCCAAATATGAAAAAAGAGCTTAGGGGTAAGAAACTACCAGTCGGGGAAGAAGTAAAGTCGGCAATTTCTGCCTATTTTGAAGACTTAGACAAAAAAAAATTTCTCGAATGTGAGTATTAAGTAGCTATTTGAACGGTCTGAAATGTTTAATAGGGTGAATGGCAAATATAACGAAAAGGAAAAATAATTTCATGTTTAATTTCACCCTCTTTCCCTTTAATTGCGTGAACTTTTCGACCACCCCTCATAGGTCCGCTCACTTATACGTCCCCAGATCCATCCTGATAGAATTGCTAAAGCACACAGCCTCTCATGCTCATTACAGTCTATCAAAGTCTATAGATTTCCTCATTATGGATAACATATGCCATAGTTGCGATTCTTTGTTTTCACGGTCGAGACCCCAACATATATTCTGAGCGCATGTAATTGGCCAAATCGTTTTTTAAAAGGCCGGCAACGCATGTGCAATTCCGCTGGTGTTGCAGTTTTTAATGGACGGCGGTAGTCACCATCACGTGAGCCGCATGCTCGTTAGCCCTATCTTATATAAAACAAAACCCCATTAAAATGGATTATCATCCATTTACCTACCTATCATATACAATTATATACAAAATATATAAATACCATATACAAAAATAACTATTATTCCAATTTAGTAGTATGAAATATTGCTTCTACTAAATTCAAGCATAAAGTTAACTATCAATAGATAGATTTAAGAAAGTAGAAAACAAGTACATACAGTTATAGTTCATATTATATAATATGTAAGTTGATTTTCTGTTGGATATTGTTATATCATTCGATAATTTATCAAAATATTGATTTCAAGATAACAACGATATCTTATACGTATAGAGTGATAATTTCGCCATGGTATTGATAGCCATGAGGGTGACATAAAAAGTTCTTAGAAAATCAAAAACTGAACAAACTAGCAAGTTAATAGTTTTATTATAACTTTTCAAAATAGTGTCCATTTATATCAATACATCGCTGCATCCGATGGAACCACTGAGAAAAGCACTTTGCCCACTCGTCCTTAGGGGTCTCTTCGACGGCATTTTGACACGTAGCCATTGTTTCCTCGGCGACCATAAAACGTTTTCCTCGAAGTTTTTCTTTTATTTTCGGAAATTAATAAAAATCGCAAGGTGCGAGGTCGGGACTATAGGGCGGGTGACCCAGTAATTCCACGTCTGACGTTGCCAAATAGTCGATTGCTTGCTTGGCGGTGTGCGACGAGGCGTTGTCGTGGTGAAGGAGGATCCTACTGCGAGGTCTTTTCTCCCGAACTTTTTCCAAGACAAGTGGCAAGCAATTGTTAGTGCACCACTCTGCAGTAACTGTTTTTCGATCCTCTAAAACAATTGTTGCGTAATGAACTGTCCTTCCGAAGAACGAAGCCACCATCTTTTTTCCCACACTTCGACCTCTTCACTTTAGTTGGCAACTCCTCGGAAGGAAACACCCAGACAGTAGACTGTCTCTTAGTTTCAGGATCATAAGAATTAATCCAGCTTTCGTCACCCGTAAGTATGTCGAACACAGCATTTGAGTTTGAACCATTTCACGACACCAATCAACAAGATGGAGCTATTGGGCCTCTGTCAAATTATGAGGTATCCACCGGGCACAAACTTCCTGACCGCTAAATGTTCATGGAGGATTTTGTGCACTTGACTCATACCGATGCCTAAGCTTGTCCGAATCTGCTGATACTGTCACTCTTTTGGCAGTCTCTATCATACGTCGCACAACATTGATGTTATTTTCAGTCGTCGCCGTAGAAGGCGGTCCCTCACGTAAATCATCGATGAGAGTAGTGCAACCACGTTTAAACTCATTAAACCAGTTTTAAACAGTGGCACGAGATGGGGCTTCATCGTGAAAGGCCAATCGAAGTCTTGTTGACTTAAATGACATCGAAAGTCATAAAAAATCATTGTACGAAAATTTTCTCGCGTTTAATTCATGCTGACGTGACACAGACAATTTTCAATATGCCGCCAAATCGTAAACAAATGACAAATTAATAAAAGACATACACAATAATATTGGCAAACAGTACCATTTTCAAAATTTGAACTTATTGGAACGAAGTTTCTTTTCGGACGGTACGGGTTTGGCGGATGGGAGCTAAGCGACAAAAAGTGTAA